CACAACAAATTGTGTAAAAGAAAATTAATATGTTATTTTTTTACATAACTGCAAAGTTTATTTAACAAATCGTGTTGTGTTAATTTTATTTTTTAAATGGTTATTTTAACCTAAACTAATTATTATTATGATTTAAAATCTGTATAACTGTAACATATTTAAATATGTTAAATTTATTTATATTTTATTAATTTTACACAAAAAACTGTTACTTTAACATATAACTTTCTATTTATTTTACACAAATAGTATGTCTTCATAAATTTTAATTATTGTTTACATTATTAATTGTTTATTTTTATTTATTTTAATATAATATTTAAATTAATATAATAATATTTTATTAAATTATTTTGCATTCAACATTTTCCAACAAAAACCAAACAAAAAACTACTGAGCCTAGTTTAACCGTTTAAATTCATAGTTCTCGTGATATAATATATGATTAAAAATTTTCTGTACTCAAATATTTAACAAATATTTTTGAGTTAGATTAACACTTGTTTAAGAGTATTATATTGAAATTAACATACATAACTTTCTCGTAACATTAACTATATTATTATACTACAATGTACAAACAAATTACTATTTAACATTAACACATTAATGTTTGTTAAATCTTTTGAAATTTTAAGATTTTAATTATTATTCTTTTTGTATCAAGTAACATACGAGGTGTGTTCAGAAAATATCGGGAATTTTCGTTTTTTAAAACAAATTTTTATTTATTCGTCTAAATTAATGTTGTCGCCTTCAAAATAGTCCCCATTGGATTTTATGCACATGTGCCAGCTCTTTTTCTAATACTCGAAACACTTCTAAAACTCGATCTTTGGAATAGCCTTTAGTTCTTTCAGCGATGCGCTTTTAATGTCATATATGCTTGCAAAACGACGGCCCTTTAACGTTCTCTTTATTTTTTGAAATAGGAAAAAGTCAGACAGAGGCATGTCTGGTGAATATGGAGGCTGGGGCATCATTAAAGTATTGTTTGGTTCAAAATTTAACAATTTTGGAACAAATTTTGCTGCCACGCGTTTCATACCCAAAACATTCGAAAAAATTTCATGGGATGAGCCAATCGATATACCAACATCATCAGCGACTTCTCTGATGGTTTATAACCATTTCTTCCACTTTTTCCATGTTTTTATCGGTTGTTAATGTGCTTGTGCGTTCGGGGCGTTCGTCATCTTCAACGTCTTCACAGCCATCTTGGAAACTCTTATACCACTTGTAAACTCTTGTTTTACTTATAGCAGACTCACTATGGGCCTTTGTTAACATTTCACAGAATTTATTTAATTTTTTGAGCAAAATTGGAGTACAAATTCTTTGATCCATTTCTTTTATCGAACGAAAATCGCCGAGCTCATAAAACACGTCTAACCTTAGCGGCTGCCACAGAAAAAGTAAACAATGAAAACAGCTAAAGATTTTATCATACTTCGGAGGCATGTATACCAACATAATAAAGAAAATTTCATGACAACCGGACCCTCCGAACCCGCGAAATTGAACAATTCCCGTTATTTTCTGAACACACCTCGTATATAATTTATGTTATAATCACTCGGAAGTTTATGTAAATTTTTACTTTTTTTATTTAACACGCATTATTTTTAACACAAATTTTATAAATTTTTAACTGTGTATCAAGTTTTATAAACTCCATTTTAGACACGAGCAAGCTTGCGAGCGAATGCTTAATTAGGTTAGGTTTATAAACGAGTTGCATACTACACTTTTTCTACAACAAATATTTATTATTATTTAAAAATTATTTAAATTACATATTTATATAGAGCGACATCTATATGGTTTAATATTCTGCAAAACCCATTGGTAATGATTGTACTCGCATGTAAAATTATTGGGATTGTAGATTCTTAAATATTTGATTTTATAAAAAATTTATAGAAATTTTAAATGTAATATTTAAGTTTAAATCGATATAATTGGTTCTCTTCCTTGTTAATTGCTTATAAAAACTTGTAGCTGACCAGAGCAGCATTCGGTTTTGTACGTGCTCGCGAATTAATATCGAATATATCAAAAACACAAGCGTGCACCGTGCTGGAGGATGGAGGCGTCTCTACGTGTAATTTACTTGAGCCGCGGGCGTATAAACTGCTCTAAATTGTATTATTGCAGCTGGCCGGGACCGAGGCCACCACGTACCTCTTTATTTATGAAACAAAATTGGCTCGGTATGCTCCGGCATTTCGCGCGCCGAATACCTTGTTTACTTACCGGAGCCCCGTTATGTTTTGCTAGGAAATTAGGAAACAGCCAGACATTTGCATTGATGTATCAATTAGAAACTCTGCCGTTCGAATGTTATAGTAATGGCAATGAAAATATTAGCAGGTAAATTTCATATTAAAATAAAATAGCCTAAAGGCTAAATGCTCAAAATTTTGAAAATAAAAACAGCTTTAAAATTAAGTTCATGAAAACACAAAATAAAATGCATAAATATACATATTATGTTTATGAAACCATTTAAAAATAACCGAAACTATTGAAATAAAATTGTAAGTTTAACAAGTCAAAAAAATGTATAAAGATAAACTCATCACAGTAAGAAAATATTTTATATAACTTTGTTAAGTTTACAACCAACTTTAATCTATTAGCTAATTGAATACGTTGTTTGTAATTATAACAAACATTTTGTAGATTTAATAACAAAATCCTGTGTCAATAATGCAACTATAATTCTTGTAATTTTCAAAAAGGACCTTATTTTGACAAACCTTTTTGGAGACACAGTAATAAAAGTATTTGTTGAAAACTGGAAACTTAAATAAAAGGAATTTTTAAAGAAATGTTGCTTTATTAATCAATTTCCTTGACAAAAAAAAATAACACATACCTACATAAATAAACACTAAAATAACATATATTGTAATAAATTTCTTTATAATTTTATGATTTCAGAATGTGTATGTTATTTTAATGTTTATTTATGTAGGTATGTGTTATTTTTTTTGTCAAGGAAATTGATTAATAAAGCAACATTTCTTTAAAAATTCCTTTTATTTAAGTTCCCAGTTTTCAACAAATACTTATCAGTACTACTATAGTATAAGGAATAACAATAATAACAGATTTCTGGTAATATATTATAAACACTACACAGTTGTTACGAATTAAAATAAAGTAAGCAGAAACATAAGTTGCAGACGCTGAAATCACTTGAACTTGTCGATGCGTATTGTCAGTGGGAAATGTTTTGATTGACTGCCTGAAATCACGTGTACTTTTTCTACAAAAAATTATGTTAAAATTTGACAAAATAATATTAACAAACTACAAACTCAGGTTAACAAATCTGATTTTTATAACAGTGTACATACAACAAATAGTAAGCATTCGTACAATTCAAAAATAAATATTTTAATTTTTATGTTCTAAAATATAAGAATATATTTATTATATTACGAAATAAACGAATATTAAAAAATTCAAAAAAAAATGGAAAAACTAAAAAGAATATAACAAGAATACTATTGAATAAATCTTCTGAAGAAAATGGTAGAAATTGAGTTTTAAAGTAATTATATTTATTAGAATTGTGCTGGTACTTATTATATTATTTTAATATTTTCTATTACAAATTGATTTATTTATTTTATGTTTTCTCTATCTCTCTCTCTTACTTAGCCACTTATTTCTTACGCTACGGTTAACATAAGCCAATATGATCCCCTTTCAGTTAAAACTATAAATAACACTAAAAAATTAAATAATAAGAAACTATTTATAAAAACAAGAAAATATATACCAAGTTCGTATGGCCATTTTTTAATTGAAAAGCTATGGAAAATTTTCCTACTAAAATGAAATTTAAAAATTGGACCAAAACCAAGTTGTTCTTAAAATATTTGGATAAACTAGAAACCTGTTTACCAAAAATTGTTATAACTTCGTTATTTCAATACTTTGAGCTACCATAACCTTTTTTTTGGTTTTATAAATCTTTGGATTTCTTTAAAAAAAATGTCTTTTTTGTTTTTTTCTTTGATTCCTTGATTTTCTTTAACCATGTAAAATTAGAATATGGCGGCTTTAGAAAAAACAAAAGATGGTGGTGGTGGTAAATCAAAATCTAGTTAGCGTAAAAAATCACAAATGGTTAAATAGTAAATAAATGTGTATTTTAACTTGGTAAACTTACTTTTTTCCAGGAATAGAACCGCCTATTTTTTCTTATTTTTTAAATGTCATTTTAATATAGTTTTAAACAAATAGAAGGATACTTGGTGTACCCTGTATAATATAATGTATAAAACGGCAAAACTGTAAATGGGAAAAACAATTATATAAAAATGAACTCTCTTAAAATGAATTATTTAAAAATGCCACTAATAGCTGCAATCCACACCAATTTGTATAGCGGACATTTAACAGTCAATTCGTATGTAAAATTGTCTGCTAAATTCGAAAATGTCGTTAAAAGTTATAAAAGTAGATCAGTTTTTAAAATATTATCAATTTCATATTATATGGAAAGTTGACTATATCTCAAAATGGTTTTAGTTTTATAACTTTTGATGGCATTTTTTGATTCAGCAGACAATTTAACATATAAATTTAATGCTAAATGTCCGGGATAAAAATTGCTGTTGACTGCTTTTTCGTTATGACAAATTGACTAATTCATTTTAAGAGAGAAGAAATGCATAAAAAAAATTAAATTTAATTAATCTTTGGTTAAAAAAAAGGATTTATATTTTTGTAAAATTTTAAGGCAAAATTGGTAACTTTGTTAATTTATTATAATTTTGTTATAACTTTGTTAATATATTATAATTTTTATAAAAATTCATATTAATTAATAATTTTTAATTTGTTTTTTAAACCTAATCATATCCTACCAGTACATGCATATTAATAAAAGGATAAAAGGGAATAAAATATATTTTAAATTAAAAATACCTTATGAAATCCTCTTCAAAAATATCTAATTTATATTGTTACTTTTTTTCAGCTTCCCTGACAAACAACTTAACCGAAGACGTTCTGGATAAATACTACCTTCTCCCCGAAATAATAGCTTCGACCACTTCACCAGTTCAAAAAGGCGAAACAACCCACGCCCGAAAAGAAGTGACGCCCGCTAGCAGCCCCACCAGCAGCGCCCAGGCTTACATAGGCCTCATTACGGGAGTATTAGCAATGGTGGTGCTGTTACTAGCATGCACGGTGTTCCTCATGATTCGTAGAGGAAGAAAGAAGGTGGCGTTGCTCCACAAACACACCGCATTGGTGTCTAGCAGCACCAAGCCTACCACGATAAACATGAAGGACTTGAAGCACATCACGACGCCCATCATAAACAACGGTTTATCGAGATCCAGGCTGTCGGTGAAGAGCAAAGGCAATACCTTGGGTACTGTGGACATGAAGAAACAGAAAAAATGCAATTTATACGGACACGTGGCTGGGGAGGAGTCGGACAGCGAAAATTCATCGGTGTATCACGAACCTTACAAACTACTTCCGAATGGCAAGCAAGAGTACGGATGTTTGTTGAAGAAAGACGGTGTAACTTCGAGCAAAAGTGGCGAATATACAGGTGAGTGACGCCCCGCGATTTTAACAATCAAATTATAATGTTGCTTCCGAATCCCTTTATCGCAATTTGTTACTAATTCCTTCTATAAAACGGCTTTGCCTTTGTAATTTATAATAATTACTCCGTTATTAACGAGAATTTCCTCTAATATTATAGTTGGGGAATTAAAGTAAAAGGGGATTTACATAAATTTTAACCAAATTAATTGTTAAGTATAAATTAAGTTCTGTAATTATAATTTAATATTTATATAAATCATGTAGAGTATACTTGAAATGGTATTTTTTTAGTTTTTTACCAGCTCAAACATTAATTTAATTTTGTAATATTTCTTAAATTTTAAATGAGCTTCATATTTTCAAATTAATATTAATATTTAATAAAAATGTTGTCTCTTGTAAAAATAAAAATTGTGTACTATTATTTTTTAAACTAATTTACCCGAAACAAGTAGATTTCATAAATGATAAAAATGAAAAATAAAATGATAATAAAAACAATTTATACGTCAAAAACGGTTTAAAAATAAATACAAAATTTAATTAAATAATAATTTTGTTTTGTTTGATAAGCGCCATTTTAGTCACGAATTTTAATTAAGCACAAGCACCAAAAACTTTGTTAGGAATCTGTTTTATCGGCTTTTAAAATTTTAGTGTCAGTCGAAATCAACGCTTTATCGGCAAATACTAGTTTGCTTTCGGCGAAATCAGTCAGTAGAAACTTTTTGTATTGAGATAATTTCTACATTTTTGTTATTATTTCACAAAAGGGCATGTTATGTTGACGATTATATGACATTTGACAACTGTCAACTAACTTAAAGCTAGCTTTATTTCAAGAGATAGACAGCCTGTTTCGCTCTTTTGGAGCTCTTTAGTATCGGGTAGCCGTTTGGTGTAGAGCACGCTTTTTATATTAAACAAATTAAATAATAATTTAACAAAAGTGAGACAATGTAATCGCATTTCTAATACATAGGCGAATATCGATGAGTTTTTGCCAAAGTATCGCAAGTAACATAATTCAAATTTCGGGAATTGAAAACATTTTTTATTTTAAAGTCTGTTTTAAACCATATATAACCTATATGTTTTATAACAGGTACATACATATAATTATAAGCTATTTACTTGTTATGAAACCTTTAGACTATATTTAATTTAAAACAGACTTTAAGACAAAAATGTTTTCGATTCCCTAAATTTAAGTTATGTTGATGGCGATACTTTGGCAGAAACTCATCGATATGTCCACAATTATCGAAATCCATTGAACAAATTTGTTCGATATTGCAAATAAATTTAGATATATTAAATTGAAAGGTTCAGACGTATCCGATTTTTTTACATATTTTGATAAAAAATTACTTACAAGACAATTTTTTTTCAGGATAAACTCAATTCGCTTGGCACTTTTTTAGAAAAATCAATTTTTATAAAAACATTAATGATTTTTAATCAATTTTTTGAGAATCATAATTAGTGAACTCCAAATAATGACTAACAGCTTTTAATGTATTTGTTATATAAAATGTGCAATTCATTAGACTAGTGAACTATTGACATATGTCACTTGTCACATGTCACATGTCGAAATCGTGATTGAAAATACCGTTGCGTTATTTTACCGTTTTTTTTTCAATTTGTCGCAGATTTATTTATAAATTAGATATAAATAATTATATTTGCATTGATTATAGTATATAGTGCAATGAAGCTAATAAAAAACCATTCAAGACTCACTCGTATAAACGCGAGAGAATTTGTTTGTTTTGTCTTAAAAAAAAGAAAAAAAGAAAAAATTTCTAAAAGCATAGCTTTAAGTCCAAAACATCAGCAGCAGTAACTATCGCTCTTTTAAAAAAAGAAAAAAGAAAGAGTGATAGTAACTGCTGCTGATGTTTCGGACTTAAAGTTTTACTAATTATTATATTTTAATTATTATATTAAATATCGTTTTTAATATTTTCTTCTTTTACTCCAGGTTTACATTTATGTTTTTACCGCGGCCACCAACAATACTTGACAAACATTTGAAACATTTTCTCACCACACGCTTTCTTTCTTTTTAAATGGGTTTATTTTGAGCACTTTTTATAAAATTATACCCAATTATTTCCAATTAGGAAAATCAGGCAAATTTAACGTGTTTCTATAAATTTCTTGTTTGGCTGCTTTATATAATAAAATTTCACCACCTTTGCATACAACTTTAGGTAATCTTTTACATCATATGCTTTGAACTTTTTCCAGAATCTTTCCACATATTTTAAACATTTTTTCTTTTTTTTTTAAGACAAAACAAACAAATTCTCTCGATTATCCGAGTGAGTCCATGCATGTTTTTTTATTAGCTTCATTGCACTAGATACTGTAATCAATGCAAATATAATTATTTATATCTAATTTATAAATAAATCTGCCACAAATTGAAAAAAAACGGTAAAATAACGCAACGGTATTTTCAATCACGATTTCGACATGTGACATGTGACAAGTGACATATGTCAATAGTTCACTAGTATAATGAATTGCACATTTTATGTAACAAATACATTAAAAGCTGTTAGTCATTATTTGGAGTTAACTAATTAAGATTCTCAAAAAATTGAGTTTATCCTGAAAAAAAGTTGTCTTGTATAAGTGATTTTTTATCAAAATATGAAAGAAAATCGAATACGTCTGAACCTTTCAATTAAAAGTTATTCAGGAACACCGTGATATACATACATATATCTAAATTTATTTGCAATACACGAACAAATTTGTTCAATGGATTTCGATAACCCATATAATCTGAAAAAATTTTGTAATATTTTAATTATATTTTTTCTTTTATATTTTATATATTTTTATTTATTTTTAATGTTTTTATTTATCACAGTTATTATTTTTAATAAATATTTTATTTTACATATACATACATTTAATTAATATTTAATAATATTTAATATGTTTATCATAAAAAATACACAAACATTTAAATCTACAGAAAATTTTCAAAGAAACTACCGAAAAAGCGTTCGATGAGGTTGGAAATACTGGCTACCCGGTACTGAAGACCTACAAAAGAGCGAAGCAGGCTTTAGTATCGGCTAGCCGTTTGGTGTGAAGTACCCGGTGAGGATTTACTTGTAATGTATTGTGTTATTATTAACTCAATTTTAAAAAATTTCTCATTACAAAAAATGTACCCTATCGCACATAGATACCACCTTTTTATGAATTATTATAAGTTTATTTTTTGCATAATCTTTAAGTAATATTTTTAACATAACACTTCATTTACTAATTCATTGAAAATGTACTCTTCTAATTAAAAATTGTTTGTCTTGTAATTCTTTTGATTAAAATAAATATATCAATTTGAAGAAAAATTATAAAAATATACTTAATGGTATTCGTGAAATAAAAAAATAACCTTAAAATTAGTTGAAAATATAACCATTAAATTTAAAAGAAAATGATTGGATTTTTTAATATTTAGAACCATCATCGAACCAAAACTAAAAATCCTTATTATTCAGATCCTAAATCATTATCTAGTATTTGCCTGACTACATCGAAGAGTTTTGCCACTCGAATATCGGACGTTGGTAAGTAGGAGCTCTTGCTATGTTTTCGCTTATAACTAGCGGCACTTCAACGTCGCTATTCCAAGTTTTCTCGCGACAATGGAATATTCATAAGAGAATATTTAGGTGGAAGTTGAAAGTGTGCTCGGAGCTTAACGGGGCGATTCCATTTTCTCCAAGTGCGAATTTCACTCCGAGACATTTAAAATATGTTATTTACACTTTGTCTAAAATTTGACACTCCGTTAGGTATGTAGACGTTAAACTTTCTTCTCTCGCAGTTCGCAAAGTTTGCAAAGTTTTTTTAAAGCTATTTAGTTTAAATTTTGCAATTAAAGTTATATTTACTTTCGCCGGAAAAAATTACCTCATGGTTTAGTCATAATATGTTATAACCATTTATGTCATAAGGCTGAGAAGAAACGTCTCAGCCGAATGGCATTCAACATTTTCAAGGCACAGTTTTATTTATTAAAAGATACATTAAACGTATACGTTTTATTTATCTTTAAGTATACTTAAAATCATAATAACAATTATTAAAAGGATAAAGTGAGGTTAGAAAGCTCAGAGCTGTCATAAGTTATCGAATTTTTTATTGGTCCAGGTTTTTTCTATACTAGGATATAAAAAACCTAATTGGTCTAAATTATTTTTACAGCCTAGCCTAGCATTAATAATTTCTACATCGGATTTAAACGATTGATGGTTTTAAGGGATAAATTATTACTTTTACGGAACAAATTGGCAAACTAACACTGCCATTTTTAAAGCCGATAAAACAGATTCCCAACACAAATTTGTTTACTCTATTTTGGTATAGATGTCTCTTTATACAAATATTTATAATATTAATACATTATTTTTGTAAAAATATTTGTCGCAGTCACTCATTCTATAAAACACTTCGCTCGTGCCTAATTAAAATTCGTAACAATGACGTTTATCAAATTTTTACATAATAATATTATAATAATAATTATAATAATAATAATTATAATATTATAATAATAATTATTATAATTATTATATTATGCTATTATTTACTCCCACATTGACAAGCTGGGCTGGGCTGAAGTTTTATTATAAATTGAGAAAAAGTGAGGTTAAATCCGTATAATGTTAATATTGTATCAAATAGTATATAACTTAACCTCAAAGTTTGTATGGGACAATAAGCTTAAGCAACCCCTGTTTCTACGACACTGCGTTCACTCGAACAATTGTAATTATGTGTGAATATGTGTTTTGGTAGTAAGTGACTGTTCGCAAAATTTCACCTTTCCAAGTCTACCATAGTGGAAGTTATATTAAAAAAACTGATATGATAAGTAATACTTTATCACCCTCTATCTTTTAAACATACCTAATTAGGAATAGTTATTTATGTCATTAGGTTAAGAAGTAAGGCTTTTTGTGCTAA